TAGAATGTAATTTAGAAGAATATTACTTGAAATTTTACTCATTTTCTTTGAAATATTTCGATTAATTCTATCTATCAAAGTCAATTTGAATGATATAGGGAAAACTTATCTTTTTAAATATAAGTGCAAAAAGGTCAACCAGGGCAACATGTATCTAGGTGTACATGTATAAATTGTTTTTGTGATACAAAATGTAATTTAGAAGAATATTACATAGAATTTACTCATTTTCTGTGAAATATTTTGATAAATTCTTGATCAACTCTCTTCGTCACCATATTCTTCAAAATTGCATCCTTCTAAAGGAAGGGGGTAGGGTAAGGTGTAAGATAATTAACTTGTTCCAGGTTGAATTTAAACCCCATTATGTAGTATGATTTTTTTCTAAAATTTAAGACACTTATAGGCTAACTATAATATGCAATAAAAAAAGAAATTTGATGGGTAATTTTTTCACAGTGGAAGCAGAAGTGTGAGACTTTGTACTATAAATAGGCAATATTTTAACCTAATTTGACCATGCATCTTGGTAAATGTAATTCTGGTTTTTGCAAACAATGCTTGATAAATTTAAGATTGATGTCAAATATTAATCCATACAGACAGATGTTTGAATTCATATAAGACAAATGATAATTAATATAGTAATAAAAAATTTACAGCCCTTTTCATATCATAATCTTATATTATTTTACCCTGCTTTTTCAGCTCTTCGGTGGTTGATGAAGGCTATATTAAAATTGTCAAATTTCTCAAAAATTAGCCCGATGACCTGCCTTGACTTTTTGATATGATTTAGAACAAGGACTCAACACAAACATATAAAAAATTCAGAAAAATTCAATGGGTAGATTTTTTGTTGACAAGCTATCAATCTCTACCTTAATCTGAAAAAAGTGATTGAAAATATTCAAGGTACAAAAGGGATTAAATCCGGGTCGTGGGTTCAAAAATCTGATGCGCTTTTTGTTTCTAATATTCTCAACGCCCTTACCATCATATGCTAATGACGCCACTGCTCTAAATGCTCTTTTATATACTTGTATCTATAGAAGATGTCTTAAAATTATGAAAGGCCGGTCACTATTCAAAATTTCGCTCAAAACGTCTTGAATAAATTTTTGCAACTTTCCTTTGGAATGTTCTATTAAATAGGTGTGATAGCCTCATGAAATAACAGGAGAGTATCCTTATCGCCTTAATTTTGAGGTGTTGAAAGTATATTCAACATATCCTATACAGGAAAATAACACTAAAGCTCTATTACGATTACCTACACTTTCATGAAAAAGTTTATTAATAGCTGAAAATAAGAAATAAAGATTATTTTTTCATCTATTGATAGGAAATATCTGTTGAAAGATACGCATGCAAATTAACCAACTTGATCAAATTGAAGTGAATTCGCTAATATGCTTTACAAAATTGAAGTACAAAGTGATCATCCAGTTGCTTGAATACGGTATTATAATTGCTTCCTATTCAATGAACGAAAATAAAGGAAAGCAGGTTTCTTAAAATCGATTTATCTGTTAAAAAGATCACTCCTGAGTGTCCAACCAAAGTGGAAAAAACGTGAAAGATTAATCTATCTTGCTTGTTGAAACACATGCAGTGATCTACATGTATATGTATATTTCAAGTCAAGAGTATATTTCCTTTATTGTTTCGCAATTCGCTTTTGATTTTGAAATAAAATGTGATAGACACCACAGGGTTTGTCGCATCTATTTTTTCATACTGATATTTTTCTAGAAGAAAGTTAATTGCTTTAGTTGTTTAGATTGTCAACGTCGTCAACCTCTCCTATATATTTAGTAGTGTACATTTTCACTTGCTTGGAATTTTTTTTTTTTTTTGAATTTTGTGTCTCGCAGTAACTTTTAAGGAGATGTGCGAGACCCTCATCCATCCTGTGAAATTTTGGAGGTTTGTGGCGTTTGTAGCATTATTTTCATTTTGCTCGACAGTTTCTCGGCTTAGGTCTTTTTCACTATTTCTACATTTCGATTTCTTTAAAGTAAGCCAATACTGTTTTCACTACTGCCTTTCTCTGTCAAGGGCTTTATTTGATTATCTGAAAAATATTAACTTGAAATGAGCGACTTCCCAAATTGTTACTCCTAATACTAGTACCATGTGCCTTGTACAATCATTCTGCGTGTTGAATGAGCTTTAATTTTCCCTCGTAAACCTCGAAATATTTTGACTTATATTTCACTTTAATGGCTTAATTGTCAATTGACTCTGTCAGGGTTGGCCGGGAAATACGGATGGTGGGAATTATTAGTGGTAACTACCGGTAATTTCCAGTCCCGGTAAATGCTGTAAAATGTATCCAAACTGAGAAATACTTGGAATTGAAGAATTTATTTCTTTTAATTCATTTAATCTAATACAAATTCAGAAATAAACTGAACAAAGAAACAAAAGATTAATAAAATCGTTTTATAAGTAAAAATTAAAAAATGAAACTTGGAATAGGCAGTACTTTTAACTGTCGCGGGAATTATGAGTATTTCCCGTTTTCTGCCAACCAAAGGCTGTAAAGTATCCTAACTCCAAGAGTTTATATACTTGGTAAATATTTCATTCATTTTTCCATGGCAGTTTACAGTTTCAGTTCTAAACTGATAATTTTTTTTTATTTATCCTCCTAGCTGACTTCTCCTCTTGTCTAACATGACTTAAAATAAATGTTTAAATTGCTCAAATTGTCTTTAAAGTTGTCTTATTGTGACAGATGTTGCAGTTGCTTACGTTTAGCAAAATTCGGGAACGATGTGATGGTATCTCTATCTCTGATGTCTCCATATGAGTGAAAAATTCTCAAGAGGGACGTTAAACAATAAACAAACAATCAATTAATAGAGAGACACCAACTTTCAAAAAGTTGTATTTCTGGGGGCATTTCTATTATGTTTATATTTATTAATTCACAAATAAATGTAAATGGGATTGGGCAGCAGGCAAAGTCTATTTAATCCCTCTCTGAGCAATGTAACTAAACAAATATCTATAAAACAGAAGTTCTAGATGAGATTTCCACAAGAGAGGGAAATGGCATTGGTACCACTACTGACTTGGTGAATTTCAAAACCTTCTACTGACGGTTTTATAAAAAATATTTTTTATGGAATAGCATATTATGTAATAACATAATTATTCCTTCGTTTCTATTTTCATGATAAAGAATTAACAAGAGGCCCATGGGCCTTATAGGTCACCTGGACATCATGCAACAACTTTTTCAGTAATTGAATTTGATTCATTTTTAAGCCTGGTGCTATGGCATTCACAATTTTGAAAGAGGCACCATTACTCATCATAAATATACACTTAGCAATTGCTTAGTTTGGTTAATTAATACTCATACGCAGGGTAGTGAAACAAAAACTTCATTTCAACTTATTTAGTAAAATTCAGCAATAATCAGTGGTACCCCTTCCACACATGAACCCCTGACCCTAGGACTACACATTGCACAATTTTTGTAAAAGCACCCTTGCTGACCCTGGGGTCTTGAAATTCACAATTCTGAAAGATTAAGGTCCTTGCTCATCATAACTATATAGTTAGTTCATCTGCTTAATACCCAGAAGAAGAGAAGAAAATTTTTCAAAGAATTAATGTATTTTCACTACATAATCAATAGAGTCCCGCCCTAACACGAGAACCCCTGACCCTAGGGACATAAAATTCACAATTTTGGTAGAAGCACTTTTGCTTATCATAACTATGTACATAGTTATTTTATTTAATGCCCAAGAGCAAAGAAGAATATTTTCAAAGCATTAATGTATTTTTACTTTGTAATCAAAAGAGCCGAGCCCTGACATTAGAACCCCTAAACCTGGGGCCATACAATTCACAATTTTGGTAGAGGCATACATGCTTATTATAACAATGTTCATAGTTTATTTATTTGATACCCAGAAGCAGAGAAGATTTTCAAAGAATTAATGCTTTTTCACTATATAATCAATAGAGCCTCGCCCTAAAACTAGAACCCAAGACCCTGGGGTCATAAAATTTATAATTTTTGTAGAGGCACTCTTGCTTATCATAAATAAGAACTTAGTAACTGTAAGATCAAATCTTTTCGTGGGATCAAACTTCCGTGGTTTGATTGATTGATTGTATATTGTTTAACGTCCCTCTTGAGAATTTTTCACTCATATGGAGACGTCACCGATGCCGGTGAAGGGCTTCAAATTAAGACCTATACTCGGCACTCAGGGCCATTGAGCCGTGAGGGTTCTTTATCGTGCTAACGCCTACCGTGACACGGGACCTACGTTTTTAAGGTCATATCCGAAAGACCCGTGACTTTCACTTCTAGTGCCGAGCGCTTGGCGAAGGAACAGTCACTACCTATGTTTACGTCTTAGGTATGACGCGGCGCCGCGATCGAAAATCGAACCCGGGCCTCCCTATCACGAAGCGAACGCTCTACCACTAGGCTACCGTGACCGTGGTTTGAGGAAAAAAGTTGGTTCGTTGGGATTCGATTTCGTGGGTGAAATAGTTTTTAGAAGTTGTGCAAATGAAAATTTACATTACGGGGTGGCCATAAATTCATGAGTTTCTTCATATCTCGAAAACAACGAAAAAATTAACCTCCAAAAAAATTAGTGATTTCACTGTAGTTTATATAATGCCCGAGAGTAAAGAAAAAGTAGAGAAAAAGATTTTCAAGGAATTAATGAATTTTCACTAAATAATTAATAAAGCCCCATCCTAACACTAGAACCCCTGACCCAAGGGCCCTAAATTTCAAAATTTGGTAGAGGACTCAGTGTTGATTACAATCATGCAAACAGTTTGACTACTTGATGTTCAGGAGTAAAGTAAAGGTAAAAAAGCTTTTTTTTTTATCTAATGTATGGGCCTGGATTAAAATTCAATTACATGTACATGTAACACAAAATATGTTGTAAAAATACCTGAAATTGTCATTTCTAGCATGTTTGTGATTATATACATATATGATTCGGGTTTGTTACTAGAATGCTCTAAGTCGGAAATAGGCAAATTTTGAAAGTACATTTACATTGTATTAGCTCAACTTACTCAAGTCTTTTAGGCATTAATATATTTACACATCATAATGTTTTTAAATTCTCAACTTCTATTTCCAATTTACATCATTTGAGAAAAAAGTTCTATTGCAATGACATCATTTTTCACAAGCATGTATATCGTAAATTTAAATTGCCTTGTTTTCCTAAAAGATCACCAAAATTATATTGTTAAAGATCACTTTGATTGTAAACAAAGTCCTCCAAGATTGGTATTTCACTGTAGTTAATATTAAAAGAGGCTGGAGTTCCTTTCTGACGTCATTTCTGCAGCCTTGGAAATCAGGTCTTGTTTCCTTGCAAGATGACTTTCATCAAAGATTCTGTCACCCATGGGACCTTGAATTATTAAAATTACACCGAGTACAATGTAAGCCTTCACAACATTTTTTAAAAGCCTTGTATTTTGTATCTATTTCAGTTTGACATTAAAAATAGCTAATTATTGCGATGAACTAGGGTTGTCCGCAAGGTTCGAGGACAACATTGACAATTGCTGACAAACATTGATGAAATACGAGGGGCGTTCAATAAATAATGTCATTGGTGCTCAGAAAGAAGCAAGCGACGCTTTTCAATGATTTAGTCTTCATGATTTTACTTATTAATCTATTTAATTCAAACACATGTCCGTAACACTTTTTATCCAATTTCTGATTGTTTTTAGAACTTATTTTTGGGTATGACCCTTAGTATACTGGAAAATGGCTGCTCCAATGATTTCATGGACTTTTTTTTCCTTCTGAAAGGTGTTTTATTCCAAGTTTGGAAATAGAAACAAGTCAAAAGGTCAAAGATCTGGCAAATATTGTTCATGTGAACAAACATTAACTTTCTGTTTATCCCGTAAACCCTTTTACTCTTTAGGGCATGCGGGTTTAAACGCTGTCATGAAGAAATTCAGTGTAGTGGATTCCTGATTATGGGTCCTTTCTCTGATAAACCTCTCGATTTCTTTGCAAAAAACTGCTTTCTAGACACCTTCAGATATTAAACTGTCTCCCCGAATACGAATTTGAACAATAATACCACTAATATTTAAGAAATTTGCATATAAATCCGTTTGTGAGCTCTTGCATACTTTTGCTCTTGACAGACCTTCGCCGTTTTTATTAAGTACATCTTATGGTTAATTTTGTTTTAATGATTTTAAGCAATAGATTCATTTTCAAATATCTGTTTAAATACAAAACAAACATGGACTACAATTACTAATATTTTAAAATAATTGTTAAGACTTTTGTACACGCTGTCGTTTTCACTCATTTTTCAAAATACAGAGTGACCTTAGAGTACCAAGCTTAATTACTGTCAAACGTTTCTTAAAAACAGTGTAAACTACTCCCGATATGATGTCTATCAAATTTGCCTTGTGTCTTAAAGTCAATCATACAACATCAAATATTATATGTTGAATTTTGGCAAACAGTACATAAGTTGTTATAATTTTTGTTGGGAAGGAGGGTACCCAATTTTGATGCCCATTATATATTTTTAATCGTTGAAATCCACCTACTAATTTGTCTATAAAACAGGCATCGGTTGATGTAAATGTCACATATGTCAGTGAATATTTCTTTGAGATTTTTAACAAGTTTTACAGCAGCTTTAAAGTAGCTTTTATTTTCACTCTAGTTTACTGATTCTTTACCATTCATTTATAATTCAGTGTCTCGAATAGCCCTTGTTTCCCAGCTTCTCACGATAAAACTGTGTGATGAAAAGTTTTCACATAAACTGTTATAAATTCATTAAAGATTCAATAATGAGAGAAAGTCCAGCTTTATGCCATATGACTACTATGTTGTATGTCATCTAGCTACTGACATTATTTATTGAACGCCCCTCGTATATGACACTATTACTTTCATTGATTTCAGGATTTATTTGATAATTATGCAGTTTTTTAAAACAAAAACAAAGCACAAATAGTTATATTTTTATTAGATACAAAGAAAAACAGACGCTCTTAGCCGGAACACTAAAACGAAAATACTTGATGTTACCCGATGTCAGAATAAATGTTTCTTTTTCTCAAAGTTTTCACAATCTAACAAATTTCTAATGTTGCTTAATAAGTCATCAAAATTTCTAACTGATCTGATTTCGTGCATAAAATAATATTTAATGCTTCCTCTCTTGGATCCTGCATATCATCACACAACTGTCCATGTAAAAAAAATAGTAAGCTTTAGTACGGAAACAACGGCAGCGTCACGTTACTAAATTCAATTTTACAGCACTATTATCTCGGATCGATGGTCTTTATGCATATCATTTTGTTTACTTTTGCTTCCGTCCGAAAATATTATATGCCACTAACAAACTTAAAAACCGACTTCCTTTCCTTGATTTCCCGAATATTTACAGAATTTATTAATTTCTTATGATGTTTTTCTAATGTCTGCGGAAAACATTATAACTGCACTCTGCTCCACCTTTTTCGAACTATGCCGACCATGTCATACTGGGTTCTAACCTCGAATTCTCAACCATTTTGAAATTTGAATTTTTCAGGTTTGATCTTATAACTTTTGTCAACTTCCTAATGTAAAAGGCAACTAAATTTCCGTGGAAATTTACAAAATACATATGAAATTCATGTAGTGAAAAATCAATCTTAAATAAAAATTTTGCGTTACTCCGGGTCATCATCCTAAGACTTATATGGCCAGTTGCGAATCTCGGATATAAACCATCCAAGTTTACGCGTCGCACGCATGTGAGGCTTGCCTGAGTCTAATGAAGGGGTGGTTAAAACCCAGCTAAATAACTTGTCAATGGATTTTTGGGTAGAATAATGATACATTTGAAATATTTCGATGTTGCAGAAATGTTTTATGGTAATGATGATTGTTTTGATAGATTTTTCAGTATTTAACAAGAGGCCCATGGGCCAAATCGCTCACCTGATAAACTTTGGCCATGCTGTTTTTTAACAGATTTTCCCCTTTGTAATACCTTTGTAATACAAATTTTGACAAAGTCCTACATCCAAGGGTCATGATTTTGATAATTTAAAATCTGCACTATCCCAGGTTGCTTTCACATAGGTTTCAGCTTTTCTGGGCCAATGGTTCTAGAGAAGATGATTTTTTATATATATTTAAATGTAAAACTTGGGGATTCCTTATTGTGATCCCAACCTACCCAAAGGTGTCACGATTGGAGCAATGTAGAATCTACACTCCCCCAGGATGATTCCAAATAAGTTTTTTAGCTTTTCTGGCCCAGTGGTTCTTGAGAAGAAGATTTTTAAAGTTTTTTCCTTTATATTTCTATGTAAAACTTGGATTCCTTATTGTGGCTCAGCCTTACCCTAAAGGGTTATAATTTGAACAATTTAGAATCTTAGCTACTCCAGTATGCTTCCATATAAGTTTTTCAGCTTTTCTGGCCCAGTGGTTCTTGAGGAGAAGATTTTTAAAGTTTGTTTTCCTCTATATTTCTATTTAAAACTTGGATTCCCTATTGTGGTGGCCCTACCCCTGGGGATCATAATTTGAACAATTTAAAATCTACACTACCCCAGGATGCTTCCACATATGTTTCAGCTTTTCTGGACTAGTGGTTCTTGAGAAGATTTTTAAATTACACCACCCTATTTTTTTTATTATCTTATCCCCTTGGAAGTGGATTTGGCCCTTGATGTATCAATTTATATTCACATTCACCAAAGAATGCTTTGAACCAAGTTTGGTTAAAATTGGCCCAGTGGTTCCTGAAAAGTTGAAAGTGTGAAAAGTTTACACACGGACAGACGACGGACAACGGGTGATCAGAAAAACTCACTTGAGCTTTCAGCTCAAATGAGCTAAAAAGCTATTCTATTAGAATTTTTTATGGCCATATTTCATGGGGATTTTTCTTTTTGCGCAACTGTTCAATGTGCCATTTTATCACAGATGCAGCTATAGAATAAAATTTAGGAAGAAAATCTTCTAAAATACATAAATGTACATAAACAGGAATTTTATAGAATTTTATAGAAACTAATTCACCAAATTTAAATCAAATTATGATTTCAACACTTTCAAACAGCTAATGATGTACATTCAAATTATGCCGAATTTCCTAGAGATAAAAAGTCCTTCAGATATCTGATTAATCAGGCTATCTACATGCCCGTAGGAACCGGGCCGGATTGAGGGATTGCATGTCCGTTCCCTGTAATTTTTGTGTAAAATTCTCTAGAAAACATAGCTATTAAATACGTGTTTTCTCAAAAATAATGTCTTATAATTTGTTTTTCATTTGATTTTAATAAAACTAAAATCCTAAATTTATACATAGTTCCTTTATTATTTACATATGTATTGATATTGCTTCTAAATTACTTATTCTAAGACCCCCATCCCTGTTTTCTACTCTTCAGCCTCTTGCAAAAGCTTTATTCTGTTTGTGATTTTATATTTTCTTATGGGTTGAGTTTCGATGAAAGATGCCGTGATTTTAATAAAATTAATAGTATTGCATTTTTAATTTACAATTTAGCATCAATATATATCTTTGATTTTAAATATATCTTTTTCATTTTTAACCAATTACAAGTACAATAAATTTTTTTGAAGTGCTGTAATAGTAGAAAACCTATTGTCCTTCAACATTTTATATGAGTAAGCCAAGATTAGGTAAACCTTACTCAGTTTTCTTACGTGCAACAGAAATGCGACTCAGGTAATCCCGACTCAGCTGGGGTTTAAACCCATCTTACGTGTTCCATGGATCAACCGCTGAATTTTACTTATCTGAGGCATAGATACGCAACTGATTAATAATGAAGCTGTGATTTTGATTATAGATTTGAAATTGAAAATAATTTTACATTTTGTAATTCATATTTAGGAAAGGATTATAAATAAACTAATAAGAAATATCAATGACACAGCTTTATAAAAATTTTCTCTTGTTCACGAATTTTTCGGACAACCCTTATAAATTAACTTTTTATAGACTTATGTAATACCAAATAATATCGAATTAGAACATTTTGATTTTTGATTATTGTTTTTGATACTCACTTTGCTATGTTCTTCCTTCCAACACATTCATCATTTTTTGTTTCAGCATTCCGTTGCTCAACCTCAGAATCGCCTAGGTACGTAAATAGTTAAATTCAATAAAATCAAATCATTTGAAGAATCAATGCTATTTTACTGCCAAAAAATGATTGCACTTAGTGTATCAAACGTGGCCCCCGGTAAATTGCGCAAAAATAAAGCTTAAAATGTAGCCTAATGAAATTAATAAAGCAATTCTTCAAGGTCTAGATCGCAACTTTGCAAAATTACAGAAATTAAGGTATCCGATCCATATAAGCCTCAGATTCAATGAAATTGAATGCATTACAGATATGTATGGGCTTAATAATTAGTGTAGTTAGAACTAATTTTCATCTTTTAGTATAAGATTGTAAGAGTGGGACATGTCCTAATTTATGACCTTTTCCTGCCCTGACGAGTTATTTCCCTTTGATTTTTCTCAATAAAAATTAATTTTTAAAAAATCTGTTGGGTAAAAAAATTATTTCTTATTGTTTTTCTATTCCAAATGATCGATTACATCTTTCCACCAGAGCATTTTTTGATATTTGAATTATTTATTTTTTTTATCTTAAAAACCTTTCTTCCATAGACTTCAGTGCAATCTTCAATAATTAATTTCTGCTTAGGTAATATAATTTTTGAAAATTTCTCTTGGTAAATCCCTTTCTACTTTAAAATGCTGTAAAATAATATCAGGATATTTTACAAACAATTGATATTTAAGTTTACAAATTTTGATCCTAATATGGATCGGATACCTTAAAAGTGAGTAATATTGAAGAACGAGACTGTGTTTTGTAAAAGGGGTCAATGCAAATCACGAACCTCCATTGTTATTCAAAGTTTTTCCGATTTTCAGAGCTGAAATACATAGTGAGCGCATGCTTGCCCAAATTTCTCAAAAAGACAGAAGGTGTAGAACTTTCGGAAATTCAACATATTTAACCCTTTCTCTTCCGGCGCATTTTACGTGATTTTGGAGGCCTTTTGACATGGCATTATTAAATTATTTCTAACTTTTTTATCCAAGGAGAAAGCTAGGCATAATGCATACCATTTTGTAGGAAATTTCTTACAGATGATATTTTATGACTGTTTAGATACTCAACCAATGACCTTATTAGTAAAAATTGAGGTCAAAGGTCAATTAAGTGCAAAATTTTATGGGATTTTTTGATACTTTCTCATCTTTAAGCTAAATATTAAGTATGATGCATGTTGAAATAGGAAATTTGGGATATACCCACAAAAGAGCATTATACTGTACTACACGAAACACATAAACTTTTTTTCAATTCTGCATATAACTACTTACAATGGGTTGCTAAGCAACACAGAATTCTTTAATTTTCGGGCAGAAATTTTCATTTTTTACTCATCCTAGACACATTTATGCATCCCAGCACATATAAAAGTTAGATGTGAGGTCATAAAATTACAAGGGACATACAGCAGATAAATTGTCTTAAAGTTTGACCTCATTAGAACTATTTTTAGGAGGTCAAAGGTCAAATAAGTGCAAAAGTTTCATCTATTTTTTTCAACACTTTTCAATATTCTTGCCATAATTTTACACAATGGATGCTGAAATGGAAAATTCTGAATATACTCTCAAGAAGGGATCAGAACTGCAATATCCATGCATCATTTTAGTTCAAATATCTGTTTAATGACCTTTAAGTGGTTGCTAAGCAACATCATTTTAAAGCTTTTGGCTATATACATGTTTGTTATTTCACATTCTGGACACATTCTAGACACTTTTTGTATATTTCATCATATTGTTTGTAAGATATGGGCCATAAAGATGAAAGAACATTTTTGTATTAAAAATTGACCTTGACACTCTTGTTCTTCAGGGGGTCAAGGTCATATCAGTACAGAATTCTGCTTTAAACTGTAAGTAAATATCAATTATGAAATGCTTCAAACATGGATAAATCATCTAATAGTTGACGTAATAAAAATGGCGAACGACAAAATTTGCAAGCAAAGAATTCTGGTCTGCTTCTTACAAAGCCCTAGCAAAACATGTATACTATCTTTTTGTTAAACAAGAAATCCATTCTCTTGATGCCAATAAAATAATCTTTATTTTCATGGATTTAATCAAACAAGAAAAAAAAACTAAATGATTTCATTACAAGATTTTCAGGTATAACAGAGCTTAAGGGGTACAATAAAGACTTGACATGTTATCTTGGAGGGAAATAATAATAATAGATAGCATTGGCAATATTTAATGCAAAACTGTTTAGTCAATAAGTTGAAAATTTGACGCTTATATCCAAATATACAAATCCAGAAATATTGCAAGATGAATTCCAAATCAGACTGAAATCTTCAACAAAATGTTGAAGAGCACTTTTACTTTGTGTCCACCATTCTTTTATCAACTGTCATTTCTCTGTAAGACTGGAGGAAATTCTTTGACTTGTCCATTATTATTTGCTGTCAAGTACAAGTGATCAGCTTCTGTCCTGTAAAAGATTTAAGTATTTTGAAACAGATACATGTCATTGTGTATATAAATTTATATTTATAAATAAAATTAAGAATGCTTAAATTACTACCGGTACATTTATTTGATTTTCCTTTTAAAATTAAAATTGTATTTATTATGTGATCCAAGTAGTTAAATGATATTGTTAAGTCAATGTATTAGGACTGATAATTCAACAACCTTGTAGTAAACCATCATGGTAAAATTACTGAACTAAAACAAATAGCATATATGGCAATCTGACTAAAGCCAGACCTCTGTTTACGCTATCGCAACATGTAAAAAAAATTGGTATTAGATTGCTACAAAAGCCAGGAAGGGATACGTAAATTTTTCAAAAACGTAAAAAATGATATCGAATCAAATTAGACAATCCAATCCCACGTATTACTAAATTGTTCCCTCGATTATAATATGAGATCTCGAATTACACAATCCGATCTTAAGGATTACTAATTCGCCCCCTTGATTCATAATTTTAGATCTCGAATTACATACCGGTAATTTGTTTTCACAGATTGATAATTCAATATCTCGATTTGTTACAACGTCAGTCTTATGATTTTGGAAATCTGTGCTCTTGAATTTCATTACATATATGTACAGATACATCCAACCATTTTAATCAATAAGTGCGTTCTATTTATTTTGTTTCAGCAACCGGTCATTTCCAATCTCTTTCATAACTAATTCAACGTATATTTATTTTAGAAATATTATGATTACACAGGACCCATATTCACTTTTACTATCTAGAACTTTCAATTATTCTAATATACAAGTAACACAAAAACCTCTAAGATTTTTTGTTGTACAAATATCAGTACTAGCACATGGATTTGAAAATGTTCATGTATTTTTCTCATTTTGAACCGTAATATGTAATAAAAGTTAGGATGTAAAATACTACAATATTCTATTTTTTAAACATGTATTACCATATCCAATATGTACAGATAAATAATTTAAACGAAATCATGGGAAGGGTTTACATTCCGAGGGAATGAATCATTTAAACTAAGAGAATGAATTATACAATCTGAGATAACGGATTGTGTAATTTGAGGGAACGAATTGATAATCTGTGAGAATGAATTGGCAATTTGTTATAACAGACTGTCAATCAGAGAGAAAGGATTGTATAAATCAAGAACTCGGTTAACTTTTATAAATTTGAAAAATTCTATGTCCCTTCATGGCTTTCATAGATTTCATACCTGCATGGCTGCCAGGGTTGTAAAAAAAGGAGACAATAGACTGCAATGTTACTTCAGGGCAAAATTCCTGGGGCAAGGCTGTTCGTGAGCATGGGAGTGTTGATAAACCATCCAGTGAGTTTGACCACCCATGTATATGATGTACCATAATTGGAAAGTGTCTGAAAAATTGAGAAAATGGAAATGCTAACCACATACTTTATGCAGATTGGAAATACAACAGCAGTCTATAAAAACAGCTTGTTCCATATCTCGGCATTCATTCAGATAGATATTACATGTTTAAATAATGTGTCTGTATGACAAATCAAGCATCATAAGTATTATGTGTTTAAAACACTTATTTTTCAAAATATAAATCAAATGTTTATAAACTTGTATGAATGCGATACCATGAGGCTTTTTTTTTTTTTTGAAATTTTAGAAATACAGAAATTTTCAATACCAAAACAAAAATTTACCTGTTCATTGGTGTCCTTACATATTAATTGACCTTCGTAGTTCATGGTGGGCTTAGAAAGTGGGTATTCACAGATGAAAGTATTGTTGCATATGGTGAAAGCACCCTAAAATTTCAATGTGAAAGTTGTACATGTACACACTGGTACATTGATGCTGAAAACAACTATCCATTATTATGACAACTTTGATTTTACTTTGAACTTACGAGTGATTGTCAAAAGCATCAAAGTTCAAAAACAATGCAAAATTGGCTGAACGATACGAAACACGCACACTGAAACATAGAGATAGATCTAGTACATGTGTACATTTAGTTTTCTTTTGAACGTGAACTAGGCCTAATGCGTTTTAATCTTAAACTTTTAAATCAATATTCACGTATTCTCACCTGCTAATACCAAAGGCATGTCCGTATTATTTGATTCATTGATGTGAGGATCTTCGTTGTGAACTAATCATGAAAATTGACGTTCAGATTTCGGATCATGTTTTTGTTTACAGCTATCACAGCGGAAACACGTGTTTATTTCAATTCGTATCAACTCGTACAGTGATGAGTCGTATTTATTTATAAATATGAGTTTTTGTATTGTTAAAATATAGATCTAATTAAATTGCAAATTAATAAGTATACAGTATAACAAGATACAACAATATTTTAAAAATCTGATTGATTTTTTGTAGTAAAGATCGACGTTCCGGAAATCTACAATTTTTATCAATATTGTATACATATCACTTCATGAAAAATACATCATTAGGGCCTACATGTAGATGAATAAATCAATATTCACTGAACACAAAAGGCAGAACGAAAGTATAATATGTTTTTTTTGAAACCTTTTTTTTTTCTTTTTGTATTATGCATTAATTTCAGTAAAAATATATTTAAATGGTCAAAAAAGAATTTGTTGTTTCGAGTAAGACGCAACAATATCGACCTTGACGTTACATGTAAATATTGACCGATTTTTCCATAAAAACTATGCGAAGGTCACAAATTCAAATTATCGTAATTAAGAAAATACTGAGCGTAAGAAGGCCTTTAAGGGCTTGTTGGAAAGGAAATTTTCTCTACTTTTACCAGCTTTATTTTGTTTTCCCTATTTCAACACAGAAATAAACGTAAAGCTGAGCTTTGTTTGAATATTAGGAATAAAATCGAGAAAAAACACATAAGTGAAAGAAAATTCTTCTTTTTAAAATATACCTTAAAGTAATAACAATAATTTTTACATATTTTAAAAGTAGAGAAAATATGCTTTAAGAATATACCATGCTTTCTTATAAAGTTAATCAGGAAAAAAATTGTCAATCGTCTGGAAAATCGGCAATCGCTTTGGAAAATTACGCCATTTTCAAAAAGTCTCATTTGTCTTTACAACGTAAAATCGATTAAATACCGGCAATCAAAATATAATCTTTTTAGATATTTTAAAAGTAGAGAAAATTTCCAAAAAGATGATATATAGCTTATATACCTTCATGCTACTACAAAATAAATACGGAGATCTTATTTTCGCGAAGTCGTGTTTTAACGCGCCACCGGTCAATTTGACCGGTACGGAAGTGAAGGGGTTAAGGGAGAATTTTGGGCAAGCCTGCGCTCGGGGTAAACATTTTGAAAAAAGGTACAAATCGCCGACAATTTTCTTCACTGTTTACGGGTATTTACATGTCATTGACCTCATTGTGACCTGTTTAATATTCCAATTTATCACGTGATTAGTAGACTCAGGTAACATTGTGAATACAAAAAATCGATAAACCACGTGGTTGTAGATTCCGTCGAAAAGCGTCCAACTTAGACCGTTACATGTACATTTTCAATCAATCAACATAGAATTATTTCTTTTTTTGTCAAGTGTTTAAATAGGGTGCTGGAATATTAAATTGGAAAAAAAAAACAATATTTTATTTTTAGTCCTTAGATTTAAGAGGCACGTTTAGAGGTTCAACGAGTTTCAAAGATTTAACTTTGAGAGGTAGCATCAATTCTCAAAGTGTTTTTGACAGTAAAAATATAAGGACACGGGGTAGAATATGTTGATTGTTTAAGACAGGCATGGAATTCTTACTGGTACCCCCCCCCCCCCCCCACACACACACAAAACAAAAAACAATAAAAAAAAAAAACGCACATACAATTTGTAAAATTTTTTTAGTGATAAAATATCAACAAGTGCAGCATCACAAAAAAAAAAAATTCCGTATACCATTACTTGTGAGAAGTACGGGGTATTTACTGTACTTTTAAAAGTACGAAGAGAGAGAGAGAGAGAGAGAGAGAGAGAGAGAGAGAGAGAGAGAGAGAGAGAGAGAGAGAGAATTGCAATACGGCACTAACCTTTTAAAAAACATAGAAGTTTTGCTTAAATATGATTTTCCCCGTCTTCATATACAAGTAAGCTCAGTTTTAAATTTCCACCGAGAAACGACCACAAGATGGGGGATCTGGATTTATAGGGATCATATACATCTCAAAGATCCTCCGCCTGTACCATCGTTCGTAAAAAAAAAAGTCGTAATCCTTGAAAAATTCTTTGTGTTTATTTTTCAGTATACCGTTTGTATTTTGTATTAAATTCCAAAAGCCATTATATCTGGCTAAATATTACACTGTTACATGGTTTCAATCGATTGATGAAATGCCCCGCCTACACTGAATATTAATGTGACACAATTAAAACCTAACTCGGACAAGCGCAACATTCCGGAAATAACACGGAGTATATAGCTTTTTAAATTACCATTTATAAAACTAAGACGCTGTTTTCAATGTGAATTTTTGCAAGAAATATACCACAAAGATAACAAAGTATGAGTTCGGTGTAAAATAATTAACTTTTGAGTTAATTAGATAAAGTTAGAGGGGTCCGAAAAAGGGGCCACGGCACTATGCTTAAGTGGAATCATTCAAATATATCATATATTATGTTAATAACGGAACCTTAATAAAAACAACCCACATTAAATAAAAGACAAAATAACGATAAAAACAATATTATCAAAGAATGCTACAGAAAATCTGAATTCTGAAAAAAGCAAACCAAACATCTGACTAAAGGTAAAAGGCAGCATTTAAATAATAGAGAAGATGTAACAAACTAGAATAATGTTTGAGGAAATTGCATGCCTGTAAGAAATCTTTAAGGTATTCATTGAGGAGTGAGAATCATCATTGACAAACAGATTCATAGTTTCTGATCTTGAGCAATCACATATAGGAGGTAAAAATAATACATTATTGATAAAAAATTATGCTACTGCAAAAATTATCAATTTCAAGTGATAAAGAATCGCTTTTCAATGGGTGGGTATTTTGGTCAGATAGTGTGAAATGTGTAGTGAAAGCTTTTTTGAGAAAGAAACTCATGAGGCTACGTCTTTGACATTAAAAGTTAAGTATTTCAGTCCTTACAAAACATGCTGATTAAAATATTATATAGCAGAAACCTTATAAATCACATATTGAATGAAACACAGGCATTTACATATGGTGTACTCATGTTAAATTTCAGGAAATGAGTTTAGCAAAGATTGACATGGAAATTTATGAGAACCTTGAAACGAGAATAAAGCACAGATTATAATGGGATATCTCAAATGATAATTTTACCTGCATGAGATCTCGTGCTTTCTTCTCTAGTTCCTTCTTTTCTAATTTACTTGTTGCTTCCGTTGCATGCCCGATTTCATTTCTGTATATCCGGATCCTTTCTACGTCATCAGTCAATCTTGTATCGGATGTATCCGGAGTCCTTCCCCAACCTTTAGTCGGGACCTGAAGACTTGGATCACGATTACGTAACATCGTGTACATCATCGTCACATCAAACTTTTCTGAGGAAGGATTAGACCTATCAGCTAAAAAGGAATGAGGGTTATTTATAAATTGATTTAAGCAATTCATACAAAATTTGAACCATAATTCTTTAGATAACATGATACATCAAACGTCAAAACATAATTTTCTTTATATTTATAAAATGGTAAAAAACTTTTGTCGATCTTTACCTTTGGATTCACATAGAAACGCAAATAAATCTATTTGAAAAGTATTTATCTATCTTGTATTGAATTTAGAATTGTTTGAATTTGATAATATTTTATATTATCGTGTCTATATATTGAAACATTTTAGATACAATGCAATTAACAGATTAAAACATGTATTCCTTCCAAAGGAATGATCCGCATGGAGCCATACAGCCAATGTTACAAAATATCTTAGAACAATTTTGTAAATATTTCTTTTTACTTTAATAGATTCAATTATATTTTTCTAAGGGTATAACATATTTATAATTAAACTTAACGTATTATTTTAAACTGATTATAGTGTTTAAAAATACTCTTATCAAAATTATTTTCTAAACATACCAAATTACAGTTGAAGCTGCCTCTAAGAATCCGTAACTAGAGAGATGCATTGAAGAGGGAAGGTAACTATTTTTTTCTGATAGAATACAAAATTGTCAAATTGTCGTGATTAATTTATGATGCAGCAGAACGGAAGAGGATGGGGCAATAATAAAAAGTTACGTTTTAAGAAAAAAGGTCGGAGTTACCCTAATCCCCGATGCAACTGTCTGGTTATTATATTAAAGAATATTCCTAGCAAAGTTAAGTCTACACATTAGTTTAAACAGTTTCTGCATAAATGTTCTCCTTTTAATTTCAAAGGGAATATGATCCGTGTGCCAAATCAATCCTTAATGGTAAAGGACAGGATAGGCTAAGACCCATTGTTGGTCCCTGGTTTGGGGTGTCTTTTAGAATAATGCAACAATTTATCAATAGAAACATATTGATACATCTCCCATAAAATAAGAATTGGTTCTGAGTAGTTGAATACACATAGGTCACAGGGGGTAAATAGAATAAGCAAATTTCTAATTTTTATTCATCGATATTACAGCAGATTTTTTTTTCAGAAAACGTGGAACTCAAGCTTGCCAATTAACAAAATTTTTATATTTCATACACTTGTTTCAGATGCATCTTATATTTCAAAATCTCAGATAGGCAAGCGAGGTAAAAAAGCGTAATGAAAAAAATTGACGAAATTTCACAAGAAATCAGTAAATTTGGATAAATGTCCTATTTTGGCAGCCACTGTTGACCTTCGTGTAAGCTATAAAACTAGTGGTGCTTTTAAAACAAGCATCGTATTAAGATATAAAAACGTCAACATTTTAACTGTGTTCTAATTTTAACATCAAATACAGGGCAAAATTTAGCCGTTACCACAGCTGCCTCTCAATATACATGTAAACTTACAATTGTGAGATTTTAAATCATCTTTAGAAGTTCTTATAGGTCTGCAATGATATAAATAAAAAGAGCAGTAATTGTTTTTTTTTTTTTTGTTGCTTCCGAAGAAGCAATGAACGAATAAACCGAATTAAA